GTTAAATGAAATATTATTTAAACTTTAAACCCTTTTTTCCATCCGTGAAAAGTGGTCTTTGAGTTGAAGTCGTGATGACTAGGCACTAGGCTCAGTAACTTAGTGACTATGTAGTGTCTTCTTGCAATTTGTCGCCGTTAAGGATGTCTGTTTCTAAATTACTAATTAATAATACTTACTTCCTCTCCAGCTATTTTTTTAAATATTTCTCGCTTGCTGTTTAATATGGCCTAGATGTCAGGGTTTTTACTATATTCATTAAACCTTAACCTAACTTAATTGACGCTGCAGAGGAGAGGAAGTGTTGTTTATTTATACTCATACTATTACTAGGGAATTCTATTGAAGTTTTATATTTTGGGGTTTTCTTATGAACAATGACAGCTAGATTGATGACAATTACAAATCAAAAATACCTTAATGAAGCCTGAAGTCACTTCTAATAATTCTAAGCGGAAACATTAAGTGTGGCATATGATACCACACTACGATCATTATCAAATTATAGTATTTATAGAAGTCTGACAGACAAAACATGGTTTTCATTCTGAGCTGTGGACCAGTAAGTAAGATTAAATGACTAAATAAAAGCAAGCTAGTGACCATTTTTATATGTTAATTAGGCACATATTGCATCGTATGTAATTGAGAAATGCATATAAAGTTAGGTCTCCCTGACCTGAATGAATGATTCCAGCATTGTATAGTTGCTAAGGAATTTGTTGAGAAACAAAATAGTTATTGTCATAAATGCAAATAAATAACATTAATTTTTCAGCAAAAACTTATATATACATTTATGGTTATCTGCCAACGAGCCTGGCAAGATGCATATCATATTATGCATATTGTGATAACAGTAAATTGCACTGATATACCTACACATAAAAAAAAAAATTTTATAAAGAAGAAATTGAGATAGACAGATATGATAGATAGTTAGATACTAAGATAGACAAACAGATAGTGACAGAAAGAGACAACACTGATGGATGATTAATATACCCTCAGATTTTCTTCTTCGCGTTTACCAGCTGTAAACTCTGGCAGAAAGTTCTGGTTGTTTCATCCACTTCTGGACTGCAGTCCTGTTCCAGAACCTGAGTGTTGCATGTGCATCCATTTTACAGAACTGACTCATCTGTATGCAGACTGCTGGTTTCTTGCCTCTCAGGCAGATGCACTGACTTTGAAAGAAGTTCCCTATTAGTCGACTCTAATGACATGCTTTTGGGTAGGTCTATTCTTGTTTTCTCATTGCAGGTCGGCATTAACTGCCTTTTTTTTCCTTAGATTTCAGCCACTTTGCAATCCAGAGTTGCTTTCAAGTCTTTTACTATTTTTTTAAAAATAATACGTAATTAATCCAAATGAAGCCTTTGCTTCTTCATACATTTTCTGCAAAGTTGTACATTTTGCTGTCCACAGATTGCCTGACTGTGTCCTTACTTTTGATTTTCTAATTTAATCTTTTCAAGGAAACCTTATTGTTTCTTTTCTCTTAACAGACTGTATTTTTAGTTCTCGTATTTCCTCTTGTAAACGTCTCTTTTCCCATTCCATTTTCATAAATGTCCTTTGCTTTATGACACTGTTTTGAACAATCTCATTTAAGCTTCTTTGGTGATGGTAATCTACATTTTCTAATGAAGACAACTGTGAGTGCTGCTGTTTGTGGGATGTCTGGTTCTAATGAAGACAACTATATGAGTGTTGATCTTTGTGGGGTGTCTGGTTCTAATGAAGACAACTATATGAGTGTTGATCTTTGTGGGGTGTCTGGTTCTAATGAAGACAACTGTGTGACTGTTGATTTTTGTGGGGTGTCTGGTTCTAATGAAGACAACTATGTGAGAGTTGATCTTTGTGGTGTGTCTGGTTCTAATGAAGACAACTGTGTGACTGTTGATCTTTGTGGGGTGTCTGGTTCTAATGAAGACAACTGTGTGAGTGTTGATCTTTGTGGGGTGTCTGGTTCTAATGAAGACAACTGTGTGACTGTTGATCTTTGTGGGATGTCTGGTTCTAATGAAGACAACTGTGTGAGTGTTGATCTTTGGGGGTATCCGGATGATGATGATGGTAAACTCATCCTTAATCATATTCTTTGACACTGTGCAGCTTACCCTGTGTCCTCATTGTATTCGCTGAAATCTGCTTGTTTTTTTTCAACATGGCCAAAATACCTCAAATTTCAGTACAGGATGCTGTTTCTGAGCCAGTTCTCTCTCTATTTCTTTGACTAGGTTATCAGGTAATCGCAGTTCCAACTGCACCGCAAACAGGTCACTCCATAGTTGCTCTTTCCCTGTGCCAAGAAAACAACACAGAATGTCCATCACTGTCCCTTGTGGGAAAAAAAGTGGACACAGACTGCAGTCTTAGCACGTCCCACATTATGCATGTGCATTCAATGCATAAGTCAGCAAACAACAGAGGTGCCAACACAAACAGTCTACCGCTAGAAATGCAGTTCATCAATAATGGAAGCAGCAGTTCTTTGACTGGTGTTTTTAACACATCCATATACTAGTTATGTTATTATCAAGCTTACTCAATAGGTGTTTTATGCAGTGCAATATTTGGTTCTTTTCCCCACATCTTGATCCATGAATTTGGTAAAATCTTCATTTGAGTGATTCTGTCATACCATTGTAAATTTTTGTTTTAAATACTTTATTTTAAACATTGCAGACCATGTCAAATAATTCCCCAAGAAAAACTGCCAAGGCAAAGCGAGTACTGCCCCCGGCACCAGAAGACAACACACAAGCTAAATCTGTGACATTTAACAGCGACACAGTGGAGACATCTATCGGTGGGACACAACGTGTTGGCAGGATTAAGCAAGATCTGCTTCTTCACTTTGACACCCCGGTAACTGGTCCACTGACAAGAGTAACCACCAGAAACAGTGGATCAGCCACGCCAAAGTCACACAGCAGTGCTAGGAGTTCAGTAGACAAGGAAAATAATGATATGAAGTCACTCAAATCCAATCTAGCAAGTACAGAAGCAGTGCCTAAAGACCCTTCTGCTCAGAGCCTGTCAGTTAACAATAATAATTCATCTAAACTGAGAGGTAGTGTCAGTCCTGTTAGAGAGAAGTCAAGCTCCACACCTGTTTCCCAAAGCATTAAATCAAAGACCAAGAAGGCTGTAGACAGCGCGAATGATGGGTCTCTTAAGAGAGCTAAAGGAATAAATAACTCCCAGGTTAAACCAGATGAAAAGATTGATGAGCACAATTTCGTCAAACCATTACAGCCAGTATCGGAAGAGCAGAAACCCACATCTACAAACTGTTCTACTTCCCAAATAAACAAGACACAGAATAAGACAGTTGTGGACAGTCAGAATGATGTATCTCTTAAGAGAAGTACAGGATTAGATAACTCTAAAACAAAACCAGAGGACAAGAGTGATGAGCAGAATGTTATTAAACCACCACTACCGGTATCAGAGGATCGAAGGACAACTATGGAACGTATTGAAACTGCAGCCAGAAGCCCATTTCGGACACCGGATGCAAAGCAGTTACGAAGACATACACTGGAGAGTAAGCTGTTTGCTACACCTGACTGCTACAGGGACGTGAACTTTGGAACCCCAAGACTGGTGCTGGCGACTGTGCAGGATGAGTCTGTGGATCTCACAGAAGGAGAAGACAGCTGTAGTATCACCGTTGCTGTCAGAGTGCGCCCATTTGGTCCAAGGTAAGGCAGTAATGACATTTGTGTCTGTGTTTCCATCTTTCTGTTTGTCACATCAGAGTTTATTATCTATAGCTATGTCTCCTAGAAGTCTTTCTTTGATTCTCATTTTTATTTAATCTCCGTGTTGTAGGTTCCTTGGACCCACCGACCCCCTAACAATCAAGTTGTAAAAGTGACTAATTAGGGATGTCTCCTTTGAAGTCAGAGTGCATCTGCCTGAGAGGCTAGGAACCAACAGTTTGCATATAAGTGAGATCTGTAAAATGAATGTGCACACATAATTCAGAAAGAACAGAGAACCCATCATTGAATGAGTAATTCAAAGGGGGTGGGGGTGAGTAGAGATGCTGGAAGATATTCAAAACTGGTGCCATTAGCAAGTCGACTCTTCGTTGGCTTCTGAAGAAGGGGATGGAGCATGTGTGGGAATGTTCCAAAAACAGTGATGTCTGTTCTTGACTCATTCATTCTTATGTAGCGCCTGCATTTTCGTAGTTGTTCAGGTTGCATTCTGACAAGATAAGTAAACCGTTGGCTATTCTATTTCTCAATGAATTTGGCGCATTGTATTGTTTCCACAGTCTGTCTGATAGTATCATTTCTCTCTTTGTCTTGGATGCTTTCCTCTGGCATCTTATTTCACAGGCATTACACAGGTTAACCTTTGATATTTTCATTAGGTACTTTATTAATATCCTACCCCAGATGACGTCACAGGACAATCCAACATTTTAGAAGGTGGTAAGACTGGGTTTCCTGGCTTTCTGGTGCTTTTAATGACTCCAGAACATTTAGAACTGGCCCTAACCTCAACCCACTTACATCCCACGAGAGAGTGCAGCCTAGGTCCCACGACTGCATGCAGCCTATCTACCACCCCCTGAAATATTAGACTGTCCCGTGACCTGTGGATTTCCCATGTTTGGGGTAGGATATTAATAAAACACCTTCTATTGTATATATTCTTTCTTCTTCTTTTCTTTACTCTGGAATGCCTTGCAGCATCAGGGCAGATAAGAGATCTCTGGAATGGGTCTTTAAGGATATTAATGTGTGATTTGCCAGTTTGGGTTCTGGGGCCCCATGTTTAGGGGACAAAACAAGGGACCCATCATAACAGTCATGTTGTAAAAGGTGTCTAATGAAAGATTTGCTGAAATCAGTCATGTTGGGCATAGATGTCACAGACTAACTGTAAACCACAATGTGTCATCCTACCCTTTAAGGGTAAACAGAAAAGACATATATACATTTTAATTTTTCATTATCCATCATCTTTATCAGGGAGCTTGCAGATTCAAACACTCGTTGTTCGGTATCCATGTGTGGTAATGAAACAGCCTTAACATCAGAGAATGGCACTGTCCACCGTTTTGCCTACGACTTCTCCTTCTGGTCACATGACAAAAACAGTGTTGACTTCTGCGACCAGGAAAATGTATACGTTAGGCTGGCTCAGCCGTTGCTAGGGAAAGCTTTTGAGGGCTACAATACATGCCTCTTTGCTTACGGTCAAACAGGGAGTGGGAAAAGCTATAGGTAAGATTTCTGTGTCAGTAAATATTTTATTTAAATAACAATGTCGTCCCCCTGTGGCACAATTTTTTGGGGGGTTATTTTGAAGCCTCACCCTGCCTTTTGCCTAGGGGCCCTAAATATAGCTGGGCCTTAAATGTGGCCTAAACAGCTGAAAAGGTTTCCAGGACCTCTCCACGAGTAATCCTCATCCGCATGGTGGAACTTTGTGTCATCGGGGTTTATCGCTTGCGTGATGTCCTGGTGGGGTACAACTTACTTACTACGTCAATAAATCATGATTGTATGTGAACAAACCTAGTTTTTATTTGTGAAAAATAAAAACTGTTCTGTATATGAATAAACAATGTGTACATACATGGTTGTTGTAGGAACAAACTATTTATGTGTGTAAATAAACCAGGTTGATGTGTGAATAAACCAGGTTGATGTGTGAATGAACCAGTTTATATGAATAAAGAGTATTTATATTTGAATAAACAGTATTGCTGTTTATATATGAAACATGGACAATAAGATTTAAAAAAAAAAAAACCAACGGCGTTGGAAGTATGGTTTCTGGGGGAAATACAATGAATGAACTTCATGGGCTGATAGGAAAGCATGTGAGACAGTCCTGTTTTAGACTGGTGAACACTGTAAACCAGTGATTCCCAAACTGCGCCCCTGGGAACCGCTTCACGGGGGCGCAGCAAAATATTTGAAAGCACGCATGTTTTTTTTTTTTTCAATCTCTTACGTACGAATCGTCATACTTTTACTTAGGTTAGGATGCCATGGGAAAATTGTAATTGAAAAAAAAAGGGTGCTGCCACTAAGAAAAGTTTAGGAAACACTGCTGTAAACTGATAAGAGAAATTAAACGAAGCCAGTAAAGATTTGTTGACAGTGTTTGCAGAAGGGATAAACGCATTTGAAAACTTGATGACCACTGGCAATGTAAAAAGAGCAAGGTGAAGGCAAGGGGACGAACAAATGGATGACTTATGCGGCAGGGCAAGAATACTGACCTGATTCATGATCCTGGTGAATCTTTAGCTAGGCATATTACACACTCATGATGATGAAGATCATACCTCTTGGGGCTGCCTCCCACCTCTAAGCATATTGTAAATGGCGACTAAGTACAGTCGGGTGTGTAGGACCAAAAAGCTGTCAGCCGAAACATCCCAGCCATCGTGTAAGGGCAAACACAGATAAAGAAGATACCCCTTTGCGCAGATTTATCCATTTTTTTGGTAATTTCTTTCCTTAGGCAGGGCAAGTCTTCTTTCTGCAATTAAGCATTAAGACTTTCTGCGGTTTCTGTCATTGAAGTAAACTCTCTCTATCGCTCTCTCTCTGTTACAGCATTATGGGTAGCAGCAATGACACAGGAATCATACCCAGATTTTGTGCAGATCTCTTCAACCGGGCGGACAATTTAGCAACAAAGAAGAAAGTAAGTGGACATATTTCTTAACTCTTTTAAGTTGATTATTCTCCGCTTGGCATAAGTTTTAACTAGTATAGTCTCTTTTATCATCATCATCATCATGTGCCCTGTCAACTGGCCTAGGCGCTCGTGCGTCTCCACAGATCAGGATCCCTGGTTGCCTGGAACAGCTTTCTTGATGATATCCCTCCATGCCATTGTTTCAGCCCATCCAGCATCTCCCTTGGTCTGCCTGTACCCATTTTTCAATTAATCTTTCCACTTGTCACAATGTTCTCCAATGTCTCTCTTCTCATTATGTGGCCAAAGAACAGTGTTTGTCTCTTTCTTATTGTTGTATATAGAGATCTACTTTCATTAGCTTTTTTCAAGTAATTGTTGTTAGTTACTCTGGCTGTCCAAGGTATTCATAACATTTGTCTCAGAAACCACATCTCTGTTGCTTACAAATTCCTCCTAATTTGTGTTACTGACATTCCAAGATTCGCTGCCATACAGCAAAACAGGTTCTATGTAACATTTTAGCACCCTCTTTCTGACATTAAATGAGAGCGATTTATTGCATATTTTTTTGTTCTCTTTATGTTGTCATATTTCTCTTTATTTGGGGGGGGGGCGTAACTGCTAGATGCTTACCTGCCACCCTAAGAGATCTTGATTTCTATTCTGCATCAAGTTGGATTTTAAAATAAATGGACCTTGGCTGCCAAGTTGACAAAGCTTAAAACAGGTACTAGTTAGTCATGGGAAGTAAAGGCATTCGGCATGGTGTTGATTGTTCTACAAAAATATGAGACTATAGTCATATGCCTAATGCAGCTCTGACATAATTAGGGTCTTTGTACACTTCTGACATAATTAGGGTATTTGTCAGATTACAACACTTTTAATCGGCACTGTGACGTAGTCATTCCTCAGTTAACTTACCATATGTTTTTAATAATATGCATGAATATTTGAGCGACAGGTAGCACAATGGCTAGATGCTTGTCCAGGTTATGGGTTTGAATCTGTATCGGTGTGGATTTTAAAAAAAGTAAATGACTTGGGCTTGCAAGCTGGCGCAGCCTTATATGGTTCCCTGAACATATAGATAACTCACATGGTGTTGACTACATAATTGTAGTGATACGGGTTTGAAGATTACTGTTAGATGTTGGTGGAAACCCTGATTTACATAAATAATGGGTAAGAGGCGGGTCTTAGAGGACCATTGGTCAGACAGGAAACTGCTGATACAAAGTAAGACATGACTGCTTGTAGACTCAAGCAATTTCTGTGGGTTGATAGCATCTGACTCCTCGCTGCGACTCTTCACGTCATAAGCAGTTGGATAAAAGAAGATAGGTCTGGTAAAAATGGTAGAAACATGAGAATTACGTGAGGGCTTGAAACATGTTAACTGAACTTGTGGATATTGTTGTTAGCAAGAGGTTGAGAATCTCAGTCAGTTGTGTGTGTGTACAGACTAGACTGGATTAATGGAGCAGTGGATAGGGATTCAACAGCAGTTTGGTTTTGTGATGCAAGAGGTGTGTAGCGATCCAGTGGGGACAAGCTTGTTGTATGTTTGCCTTGAACCAAAAGATTTCTCCTAGATTTGATTGTAACAGTGGGTAATTCTGCCAGATGTTTAGTCAGTAGAAATGTAGACTGGATGCATTGTTACATTGATAATAATACAAATTCCTGTCGTGGGAGGTTAGATGTTAAAGTCAAGAGGAATGACTTAATTGCACAGGGTTTTATCCCACATGGCTGGTCTCCTTCCACAGAAAAGCTGGCCCTCTGCAGAATGGCTAGCTGCCTGCCGAGAGTATTGCATGAAAACAGAAGCTCTGGTGATGGTCCCTGGGGGTCTCTGTAAAAATTGCGTAGTGAAAGAACCTACAGCCTTCAGGGGCACTGGGGAAATGGCTTGACCATCTTGCCATGTCCCCCCCCCCCCCCCCCCCCTTTTCTATAGAGTTTTGTTTGTCCTGTCCTGTTGTCTCTCGGGACATTGTGAATTCTGTTGCATTATGCTGGTCCAACAAGCACACCGGACACCGAGCCTACAGCTGAAGTGATAGACGGAAGTGGACTAGGATCATCCATTTAATGCCATTTATTCTGTAAAACTATGGATCTAACACCATAAGCCTGATGTGCCACCTACATCAAGAGGGTATTTGTTATTTATTTATTTATTTCATTTAAATAAAAATGAATCTTCTGCATTCATCCGAAGATGTAATTGTGTTGTGCCTGTTTACTGCGATATCTGAGCCCTTTGGCCGACACATCAGATTTCTGCAGGCATTGTTGATCGGGCTAGCCTTTCCGGCTTTTACGAATCTGACCTGACTTCATAAAAGCAATACTAGATACATTTTTGGAAATGTGCTGGAAAGAAAAAAGAACTTGCTCCTTGTTGTCTTTATCAACATCTAGCACATCGGTCCGACCCATTCGTGCTCCGTAGTCCGATGCAGCAGCCATATCCGTGCTTGACTTACTTAATAGGATTAGATTGGCACATCTTCTTTCTGTGCCCTGAAACCAGTTTCTGCAGACTTATACTCATTTAGTGTCCATTTCCAACAGGCAGTCCATCATCTCTTTGTCTCAGTGTCTCTGGAATTCAGCACATTCAGTATGTCTGCCCTGGCCATGCTTCTTCCTCCCCTAACCACTGCCAATCAGTCTGCTCTTTAAATTTCTCTCACCTCAGCATGTATGTACAACCAAGATAGTTTCTTGAGACGGGACTCCTGAATGCTATCAGCCCATTCTAGTCAGTTTGCCAGTTTGGAAGATATTTTCTTGAAAGGGGACGCCTGAATGCTATCAGCCCATTCTAGTCAGTTCGCCAGTTTGGATCCTCTTAAGCATGCTCAATGAGTCTGTCACTATCAATGCCTGAGCTGTTTTTTTGTTCCGCCAGCCATGTAACTGTCACATCTGCTATCCCTATCAAAAAGATAAATGGACATCCAGTAGTAACCTGGGATATATGAATGCTCATATACACATGCTCTTAAACACGATTAGCATCACACTGCCTTATTACGGCTTTCATATACAAGAGTGCCTTGTCTCCTTGCTACTAACCAGAGTTCTATTCTTTGCAGGGGGTTTCTGACACAGGCTTCATTTGATGGCAGTCTACTGTTTCTTCTTCAGCAATTTGTCCTTTAAAGGGTCGCTGGTACACTGTGTTGTGGTTTACAGCTAGACTGTGATATCTGTGCCTTTCAACCCTACACTTACAGTTTCAGCACATTTCTAATTAATCTCTGATGACATGCGGACATTCCCCAGCAAGTGCCGATTGGTCTATACAATTATAGGTCCTGCCCTATATTCCCAACACGCCTAAAGGCGTGGAAAAGGGACCTTTATGACATGCAGAGGTTGATGGGAAAGGGGGATGGAGGGGGGAATTCCCAGGAGCCCTCACAGGGAAGTCCATATTTCTTCTTCTTTCTTGGCATTCACCAGCTGTACACTTCAGCAGAAAGTTCTGGTTGTTCACCAGATGTACACTTCAGCAGAAAGTTCTGGTTGTTTGTACACTTCTGGACTTTGGTTTTTTGACAAACTGTTTATGTTTATTTATCTGAATGACTGAGCACTCCGCAGGTACACCCACATATACCCCCCCCCCCCCCCCTCTTCCCCATTCTACACTTAGACCAAGGCCGGCTGCAGCTGATACACATTTTCTAGTTGGGGTAGTGTCTTCAGGTTGATATTTAAAAAACATACTTTCCCAGCCAATGGGTGGCTTCGTCCCCAGGTAAACAATCGTGATCGGGAACTGTGTACAACCTCTCTTAACAATAAAACTGTCAGCAAGTATGTGTGAGTTCATTAAGATAACGCCCGCCAATGGATAACAAAGCCGTAGCTATGCGCCGCGCGCCTGGTTCAGGGCAGCCTGTCCAAGTGGAGATAATTAGGGCGCCGGCGCATGCCTAATTGTTTCACGCTGTATCTAGGATCTGGTATCAGGCCTGCCAGCCGTGGATGGCCTCTCGTCTAACCCACGTTACGTCATTTTAGTTGGCGGTATTTGTTCAAACCGTGCACGGGTCGTTTGTTATATTAACTGTTTATACACCCTACACCGTCTGCTACTCTTTTAAGTTTTTATAAGGAGTAGAAAATTATAGGGAAGAGAAAAAGTTGGTAAGAAACAACAATTTATGTTAGCTTTACAAAAAAGATCACAATAAACAAACAAAGGACGTTGCGGCGATTAGCCTTCATCACTATTCTTTTAAGAATGAAAATCAAATCCCAGAAAGTTTAAAATGGCAACTAACTAAACACTGGAAAAAAAAAAGGAAAGCAAATGAACTTTTTACACATCTTTAACTTGCCTAGGAAAACCACAACAGCCAAAAAATGTTGAGGTTGGCGCTCTGCAATGTCCTGTAAAGGATACGCAACTAACACATCTTGAATCTCGGCCTTTTACTAAGATAAAGTGTAACTCTGCTGCACTGGTCTGGCCAACTGGACCTGGGATCGCTTACAACCAAGTCACGGGTGAAACCCAATCGACATGAGCCATCAAAAAACTCATACCGGGCTGTTTCCCCGGTGAGTCTGGATTGCGGACGTAATATCCTCCGTGTAGTCGGGAGACCGGGCTGGGCATTTCAGAGACCCACGAGGTAAAAAAAAGAAAAAAAAACAAAAAAAAAGATGAAAGGGATCTTATTGTGTCTACAGTAAAGTAGAAGTCCCCGTTCTACACCTTTAGGTGTGTTGGGTATATAGGGATAGGTCTATATTTTTATAGACCAATCAGCCCTTGGCGGGGGGGAGGGGGGTGGTCAGCACGTCGCCGGTCGCCTTAACTTCCCATAGCTTTACCCCGTGCCCATTTATAAGGCTGGGGGCCAAGGTCATTTTTGAAACAAAGTCCGACTACTACAGGATCCAAACCCACGACCTTCCGATTCGCAAGGGAGCGTCTAGTTGCTACACCACGACGGCTTCTCGTATACACATAAGAAGGTTCATAAAAAAATTGCATTGAAAAGCATTGAAAACAGACAATTGTAAAATTTACATAAAAAGAAGTATGAAAAACAAAAATCCTTTTATTAAAAAAAATATAATCACATTCAGAGGAGAGCCTGAAAATCGTCAGGTAATTAACCACCCCGGAAAGATCAGTGGGAAAAGGGGTAGAGACAGACCAACTGAGACGATGCTGGATGGGCTGAAACGATGGCATGGAGGGATATGAAGAGAGCTGTTCCAGCCCAGGGATCGTGATCTGTGGAGACGCATGAGCGCCTACGCCAGTTGGCAGGGCACATGATGATGATGAATTAACGACCCTATTTCTGATCTGCTTCAGCGTTGAACAGGATAATTTTTATAACCACACTAACTAGCTAACGAACCGAACATCACCATCGGAACTCCCCGTGTGGGTTCCGCTACCCTATTATAGGGAAAACAAGAATAGACCTGCTGCCTACCCAAAAGCATGTCGTAAGAGTCGACTAATTGGGAGTCGGAGTGCATCTGCCTGAGAGGCAAGGAACCAGCAGTCTGCATACAAAGGAGTCAGATATTTAAAACGGATGCACAGCCAGCACTCAGGTTCTGGAACACGACTGCAGTCCAGAAGTGGATGAACAACCAGAACTTTCCGCCAGAGTTTACAGCTGGTGAACGTTAAGGAGAAGAAACCCTCGGGACCTGTGATTACATCATCTGCTCGCCCTGGAGCACCTCGTAACTGCCAGGTGCCCTCATGTAAATGGTTGCTACACCGTTGAGACACCAACACTGACATGGCCCCGTTGAGACACCAACACTGACATGGCCCCGTTGAGACACCAACACTGACATGGCCCCGTTGAGACACCAACACTGACATGGCCCCGTTGAGACACCAACACTGACATGGCCCCTTTGAGACACCAACACTGACATGGCTTCGTTGAGACACCAACACTGACATGGCTTCGTTGAGACACCAACACTGACATGGCCCCGTTGAGACACCAACACTGACATGGCCCCGTTGAGACACCAACACTGACATGGCCCCGTTGAGACACCAACACTGACATGGCCCCGTTGAGACACCAACACTGCTGCAGACCGACCACTGCCACGGAGGCAGACAGACCGTGACATACGAACGGACTGTCGCAGTAAGCTGTAGAGAGAGCAGATATCTTAGAGAAACTTGCTTCCCCAATTTGTGGGTAGGCTGTGGGCCCCACCCCAATCCCCTACCTCCCCCTATAAATATTGGCACGGGGGTAAGTGTCCTATGAATATTACAAGGGGTTAAGTGCCCCTAACAATTTGCAAGGGGCTAACACCTATAAATGTTTCAAGGAGCTGTGCCCCCCCCCCCACCTATAGATATTGCAAGGGCTAAGGGACCCCTATAGATATTGCAAGGGGCTAAGTGACCCCTATAGATATTGCAAGGGACTAAGTTTCCCCCCCCCCCCAAAAAAAAAAAGCTTTCTTTCTCGTTGTATACATATTTCATTTTGTTTCAGATACGTTATTATATTTATTTTCCATTTGGCACATAATAATAAAACATTATTACTATGCGCATTTAAATAAGGCTTTGACCTCTTGAGTACCCCTCTCCATCTCTGGAAAGTGATAAGAGCGGCCCCCCCCCCTATATTTTATATATGTTGACGCCCACAGTGAGCAGCCACGTATTTCGTTCTTGTAAGGTCAAGTTCGCTGGCTGGCACGTGTTTCTTGACCTCTTTTTCTAGAAAGGCCGGCGAAGGTTTGTGTGATTTGAGTGACGGTTTCTGAATATAGAAACCACTTGACTCTAGTCAGGGGGAAAACGTTCGGACCTGACAGCTGTCAGCACTTTTGTGTGATTGCACGCTCGCATACACACATACATCTCTCGATCTCGCTCTCTCTCTCTCTCTCTCTCTCTCTCTCTCTCTCTCTCTCTCTCTCTCTCGCTCTGCCATACACACATATTCACACATGCATCTCTCTCATTCTGTCACACACACACACACACACACACGCCTCTCTCTCCCATTCTCTGTCACACACTCAGAGAGAGAGAGAGAGAGGGTCAAGAATTGACATCACGGCACTCGGGGCATTCCCACATGCGCCCCGTCCCCATCTTCAGCAGTGAGCTCAGAGATCCACAATTACATGACCGTCTTGCCTTTCCCCTGAGTGTAGTGAGCCAATAAGATATCTTTTTTCGGGAGTGCCTGGTTGACCATGTTCTTGGTACACTTGTTTCCTTAGCGAGGCGCACACGTCATCTGGAGGTGACAGGTTTGATTCATAGGCACGGTAGCTATAGCTTTCGATTTTTATGTTGTCTGGTGTGTTCTTATATCTTTCTACTTTTTTTCTATGAGTGCCTATCAATACACTGTCTGTTACTTTATTCATATATTACACCGTAAAGCGTCGCAGCGAGGAGTTAGACTGTAGGTAGGTAGTTGTACCCCACTAGGACTTCACACAAGCGATTAACACCCGGTGACACTAAGTGCCACCATGCGGATGAGGATCACCCGTAGCGAGGTCCCAGAAACCCCTTTCAGCAGTTAGGCCATATCTATGGCTAGGCCGTATTTATAAGTAAAAAGTAAAGGACCCTTCTCCACCCCTTTAGGCATATAGGGCTAGACCTATATTTTATAGACCAACGGCACAAGATGGGTGATGTGATCATCATCACGCCGGCCGCCTCTACTTCCCGGGACTGCACCCGGTACCCACTCAAGGCTGGGTCGACCTGGGAGCCGAGGTCATTTTTGAAGTGAAGTCCGGCTCCGCCAGGGCGCGAACCCACGACCTTCCGATCCACGGCGCGCGTCTAGCCGCTCTGCCACGGCGACTCCGGCCGTATTTATGCCCCGGCTATATTCAGGGCCCCCGGCAGAAGCCAGCGTGGGACTTCAAATAACAAAAAATTGCATCCCACAAAGGGGCGACTATTAAAGATGATGTCTTGTATTTATAGTTGCGCAGCTGGTGTTGGTGTCGTTTTGCGTTTCTGAAGTGTCTCTTTGTCGGCGTCTGTGGCTTAGGCGTTGCGAACACGCTTCGTAATACTGGGGTGCTTGGTTCGATCCCAGCTGCAAGCGATCTGGCAGCAGACATCCTTGCCCTGGTTTCGACAGTGGCATCGAGAGCCGACCGTTAAGTTGGCAGGGCCTCGAAAACCCGTAACAGTCAAAATTGTTGGTTCGATGTTGGTTCTGCGACGTCCTGTACAGGACACGCAACTAACTGTTTGCGTCTCTTTCACTCCCTTCACCCATCTCTTTCTTGGTCGGC